TGTCTAGTGTGACAGGGCCTGAACGAGGTAAAAAAAAAATCATGATCAATGGATTACAAATGGATATGTTCCTAAATATTTATTTGGTGCGTTATTAACGTCGACAATCATGTAAGTAAAAAAAAATCTAGTTTAGGGGTTCCCTAACTTTTCCATGTCATGGACCCTCAATCAGCATTAGCTTCTGGCTGGGGACCCTCCTCACAAACCAACAAACAATGCTACAAAATATTTAAAATAAATAAATAAATACATTTTAACTGTATCCTGTCAGGCAGTGTGAAACTCAGAATTAATGCCTGAGCGCTAAGGTGAGGCCCAGCAGCTTTACTTTCACAAGCGCAGCATTATAGCTTTCATCATGATGCTTGATATATTTCATTAGAAATTCTTTCAGGATTGTTTCGATATAACGGACATGGAGGCGGAGAAGAAAACAGAAAAGAAAAGGAGAAATGTGAAGAAAGAGATTAAAGGGGAAACAAGGAGATAATAGTAGAGAAGAGTAGTGAGAACACAGGACAACACATGTGAAATCTGCCTCTTCACCTGCAAAAATAAACAAAACAGAAAAAACAACAGCAACAGACAACACATGACTATATCATTTTATGAAAGAAATGTATTTAGTGGCAAATGCAGTCCCAACATAGAGTGATGACCCTGTCGGGTGACAGTTTGTTGTGCTGCTGCGGGGGCACATCCAGTGATATAAAGACTGGGGTGTTGTGCTGCAGCAGAGAGGGTGTTATTGGGCCTAAAACACCCCTCCCCCAACCCCATTTTGAGAAGCACTGGTCTTGCTTCTACGCCAGGCACCTTTCCAGGGGTGGATCCAGGATTTTTCAGTGTAAGGGGCTATCAAGGGGCCACAATAATCATAGAGGGGCCAAGCATTTTTTTTTCAACATCCTTGCACACAAATACCCAGTTTTTGTAAGGTTTATACATTTAATCAGTCACATGTGTTCGAACACTTGTAAAAGCCTGCACAGTAATTTCTCCTTATCAATTTCACATGATTTTTTTACTGTACATAAATAAAATACTCTTAAACACACAACATGTAAGAAAATCTAGCCATTGTAAATAAACTTCTGTTTTGGTGTCACTGATCAAGGAAAAAAAAACTTTTTTTCTGCAGGACTGTTCAAATCGAAAAAGATTCCTGTAAGCTTGCTGTTGGACTTTCCTACTTGACTCACTGGTGCCACTAGTGATTGGAAGTGGAACTGCATCCACCATCATTGTTCTTGGGCAAGGACAGATGAGTGAAAGGCCTGGGGCACTTCTGGGGGCCARTCAGATTTCAGATGGGGCTAATGCCCCTGTGGCCACGCCCCTAGAACCGCCCCTGCACCTTTCATGCTAWTGTCATCTCATGATGAAAAATGATGACGTTATAGTTAAAAAACGTTTTGTGCAACCTCATGCTGTATTTTGACATCTCATTTACTCTAAGTATGTGAATGACTCTCAGCTTCTACCATATCCATGTTAAGCCTGATATCTGTAAAAATAACTCAATTTTGGACATTTCTTTTTTGTTTATTAAATGTTTGCTGCCTGACAGACAAAGGCTAAAAAAAAAAAACACTTGCTCATACATTATACCTGGGAATTCTGACAACGTCGTCCACAGCAGGTCTTTATAGTCGTCYGAATTCAGATATTTACACTCCAAGCTGCACTGGGGCTCCTTCTTATCTTGTTTGGACACTAGAGGGCGATATCAAACAGCAGCAGCTCAGTTAAATATCTTGTTATTTCTCATGATACTTTGTGCAGAAAATAACTGTGCCCAGCAATGTGTCTGTCTGTGTGTGTGTGTGTGTGTGTGTGTGTGTGTGTGTGTGTGTGTGTGTGTGTGTGTGT